CGTCAGGAACTCCGAAGAGAACTAGGTATAGACAACAATAGTTTATTGGTCAAGTGTGCCACTTAGACTCGGAGGTCCAGTACTACTGTCAGGATAGAAGGGTTTGGGTATGAGCTTACCACGACATTGGCTAGCATCACCAATCCATATGTGGAGTTAGCCCACCCACTGTCCTCCAAGTACCATGCACCCTCCAGTACCTAGTCAAAGACAACATCTCTAACTAGATACCTTACTCAAATTGGTCATTCAACCATGACATGGATCAACTATTTCCATGTCGCCCACACAGTACTAAGGGATTCAACTTTAAAACAACTTTTAACTTATCACCTTAGTACTATGTATCTCAACATAGGACACATATCTTCACCATATGTCCCCCACTTTCCAACTTTACAACAATAGTCATCTTAACAACTTCACAGCAATAGACAACTTACAACTTTACAGCAATAGACAACTTACAACTTTAAGCAACTTACAACAATACAACTATAGACATCTTACAACAAGAGGCAACTTACAACTTTAAACAACTTTTAGATCAATAAACTACTTCAACTTATACATCTCAACTTATTCATAATTCAACAATAAACAACATAAAAAAAACTTAGTTTCACAACGTATAACAACTTTAACAACATATCACATATTATCAACACATAACATATGAACAACTTAAGCCAACAACTACTCAATCCACACCCAACAACTTAATCATTTTCAAAGAAAGCAATGCATGAAGCTTCCCTAACTCTCCTAAAATTAAACAATCTACATTTTAGCTTCCCTCACCTGAAGATTGGCTCTAAAAAGCCAAGAATTTGAGAAGAAGAAAAGAAGAAGAAATATCCTTCAAGCTTGACTCTTGAACTTCAATCCTCCAAAAACAAGCTTTCTAGTCTGAAATTCCAGTTAAGACAGAAGACATTAGTGGTCTAGAGGAGAAGAAGAATCATACAGAGAAATTAGAGAGAGAAAGGAGCCCACAAACCCAAAGTCCTTCTCTCTAGAACTTCTCTCTAAAACCTTTCATTCTCCTCACTGCCCATAACCCCTATTTATAGAATTTCTGGAGTGGCCAGAACGGCCTGTTCCGAATCCCGAACGACCCATTTTGCACCCTTTCATCATGTACAAAAATCACATACAGAACGACCCGCTTTGAATTCAGAACGGCCCGTTCTAGGACTCATCCAGAACGCCCTGTTCTCCATCCAGAACGGCCCGTACTCCCTCCAGAACGGCCCATTCTCAACCACGAATTATAGGTCAATTTAATAGCTTGCCACGAAGTTCTCTCATAGGTCAAGTTCTCTCTACCACGTGACTTGGGTCTCTGATGTACTTCCTCAACTGTGAAACATGAAACACATCATGCAGGTTGGACAGAACTGGAGGTAACACCAACTGATAAGCTACCGAACCTAAACGACGAAGGATCTGGTAAGGACCAATGAATCTCGGTGTGAGTTTCTTGGCCCTTACAGCCCTTCCCACACCAGTAGTGGGTGTTACCCTAAGAAACACGTGTTCTCCCTCCTCAAACTCTAGAGGTCTCCTCCTCCTATCAGCATATGACTTTTGTCGACTCTGGGTAGCCCTCAACCTCTCCTGAATCTGTCTCACCATCTCAGTAGTCTGAAGAACTAACTTTGGACCAACCACTACTGACTCACCCTCCTGATACCAACATAATGGAGTCCTACACCTCCTGCCATACAAAGCCTCAAAAGGCACCATGCCAATACTCGCATGATAACAATTGTTGTAAGTAAACTCCACTAATGGTAACACCTCCCAGCTACCCAGATGATCCAATACACATGCTCTCAAGAGATCCTCTAGTGACTGAACTGTTCTCTCTAACTGACCATCTGTCTGGGGATGATAAGCGGAGCTCAACCTCAACCTCGTCCCCAAAGCTTGATGCAAAGTTTGCCAAAACTTGGAAGTAAACCTTGGATCTCTATTAGAGATAATACTAGAAGGCACTCCATGCAACCGTACTATCTCTTTGATATACAACTGTGCAAGCCTCTCCAAGGACCATCTCTTGTTGACAGAAAGAAAGTGCGCACACTTGGTCAACCTATCAACAATCACCCAGATAGTGTCACTGTTCCTAGTTGTCCTAGGAAACCCCACTACAAAGTCCATAGTGACACTATCCCACTTCCACTCAGGAATCTCCATCAACTGGATAACCCCTATAGGTCTCTGATGCTCAATCATCGCTTTCTGACAAGTCAGACAAGCGGCCACAAACTCTGCTATCTCTTTCTTCATACGAGGCCACCAGAAACTTTTCTTGATGTCCTGGTCCATCTTAGTCATACCAGGATGTATGCTAAGGCGACTCATGTGTAGCTCCTCTAGAACAACCCTCCTCAACTTTGAATCACAAGGTAAACAAATCCGACCTCTGAATCTCAGAATTCTCTGTATCAAGCTCAAAACTGGCTGCCCTCTCAGTACTAAGAAATCCCAAAATCCTCAACAACTCTGGGTCCTGTAACTGTTTAGTTCTCACCTGTTTCAAGAACTCATTAGTTATGGTGATCATACCACAACTAATGTGATCCTGAACAACCTCCACTTCTAGTCTAAAATCTCTAAACTGCTCAATCAACTCCAACTCCCTAATCATCATAGCCGACATGTGAATGAATTTCCTACTCATTGCATCTACTACCACATTCGCCTTCCCAAGATGATACATCAATTGGAAATCGAAGTCCTTTAAGAATTACATCCACCTCCTCTGCCTCATATTTAGCTCCTTCTGGTCAAACAGGTATTTCAAACTCTTGTGATCACTAAATACACTGAATTTCGCACCATACAGATACTGCCTCCATGACTTCAAGGCAAACACCACAGCTGCAAGCTCCAAATCATGAGTAGGATAATTTCTCTCATGGGTCTTAAGTTACCTCGAAGCATATGCCACTACTTTCCCTCCTTGCATCAACACACAGCCCAACCCCTGGTGAGAAGCATCACAAAACACATCAAAATGCTCACCAGTGTCAGGTAATACCAAAACTAGAGAAGTAGTCAATCGCCTCTTCAACTCCTGAAAACTCTGTTCACAAGCATCCATCCACACAAGAGGTTGATCCTTCTGAGTCAGTTGAGTCAAAGGCATTACTATTCGAGAAAAACCCTCTATGAATCTCCGATAGTAACCTGCTAACCCAACAAAACTCTGAATCTCCGTAGCAGTCCTCGGACGCTCCTACTGAATCACAGCTTCCACCTTGGCTGGATCTACTGCAATCCCGTCTGCTGATATCACATGCCCCAAAAATCTCACCTCGGACAACCAAAACTCACACTTGAACAGTTTGGCATACAACTGTCTCTCCCTCAACACCTCCAAAACCAACCTCAAATGCTCACGATGATCCTCCAATGATCTAGAATACACCAAAATATTATCAATGAAGACCACCACAAATCTGTCCAAGAACGGTCTAAAAATCCTGTTCATGTAATCCATGAACACTACCGGAGCATTAGTGACACAAAAAGGCATCACCACATACTCATAGTGACCATACCTAGTCCTGAAAGCAGTCTTCGGTATGTCACTTTCCTTTACCCTGATCTGATGGTATCTGGATCTCAAATCAATCTTAAAAAATATTGAAGCTCCCCTCAGCTGATCCATCAAATCATCAATCCTCGAAAGTGGATACTTATTCTTTATCGTCAACTTATTTAATTGTTGATAATCAACACACAAATGGGTCCCACCATCCTTCTTCTTTACTAATAGTACCGGGACACCCCAAGGAGAAACATTAGGCCTCACCATTTGTTTCTCCAACAAATCCTCAATCTGTCTCTTCAGCTCTACCAACTCAGCTGGAGCCATCCTATAAGGAGCCACTGATACCGGTCCTACACCTGGTACCAGATCAATGCTAAACTCAACATCACGCATAGGTGGCAATCCCGACACATCATCTGGAAACACCTCAGGAAACTCACTGACAATCTCAATCCTAGTGATGGCCCTCTCTGTCTCAATACTCAAAGCAGCAAACAACATGAAGCACTCAGCTCCATCCCTCATCAACTTCTCAGTCTGACCCACTAATACCAACACCTCATCCTCCAACTAAGGAAATACCAACTCTCTCCGAGCACAATCTATAAGGATGTGATGGGCAGATAACCAATCCATCCTTAAGATTATGTCGATATCCACTATAGGCAATACAATCAGGTTCACTCAGAACCTCCTACCAAACACCTCTATCGGGCATCTCACACACATTTCCGACGTCACTACAGAAACTAAAGCTAGAGTAGACACAGACAAATCAACATGCAATGCAGATACCGACAAACCCAATCTCCCCACACAATCTACAGATATAAATGAATGTGGAGCACCAGAATCAAACAGGACAGAAACCTCTATACCTGCAGCTCTGCCCTTCCCCTTCACCAAGTCTAGTGAGGTGGAAGCCTCCATTCCTGTCAAAGAAAAAACTTGCCCTGCCGCCCTAGGTCGCTCCACCCTCTAAGCACCTCCAGATTGACTTGCCCCAACTGGGCAATCCTTGGCCAGATGGCCAAACTTGCTGCATCTAAAACACATGGGCTGTGCAAAAGTGCAGTCTCTTACAATATGTGGCCCACTACACCGATAACATCTAACAGCCTGAGCTCCACTCCTAGCTCTCTCAATAAACTTCCTTGTGGCAGAACTCCCTTGTTGTTAGGGCCTGTCATAAGGCTTCCTCTGAGAACCACCACTACTCTTGGACCCAGCTGGCCCACCAACAGTCTTCGCCGGCTTGCCGATGCTCTCTAGCCGCTTTACAACGTTCACCTTCTCTACCAAGACTAGAAACTCCGTGATGGCCATAGGCACCACCACTCTCCTCAAATCATACTTCAAGCCTTCAGCAAACATCCTACACTTCCAAGCCTTAGAGATGGCTTGGGTGTAGAAGCGTGCCAAATGCACGAATCTCATGGCGTACTCAATCACTGACATCTCACCCTACTGTAATCTCATAAACTCTGCCTCCCGAGCATGCCTAACACTTTCTGGGAAGTACTTCTAAAAAAAACCCTCTTGAAGCACACCCAGTCCACAACTACTCCACGGTCAATTACCATCTGACTAGTAGCCCTCCACCAATGCTCTGCCTCCCCTGTCAACATATACACTGCATATGCGAGCTATATTTGTAAATCCCTCTCTTGTAATCACTTTTGGACATTTATGAGAAAAAGAATTCAGAATTCTCTCTCATTTTCAAGAGTCAAAATTCATGAGAAACCTTTTCTTAGGTTTTTTCTCAAGGTTCCTTCTCCTAGAAACTTGGTTTCTCAAGCTTTACTACACTATAACATATAACTTGTTTCTTATAAAAAAGATAAGAAGTATTAGTAACTTTTATGCATCTTTTGAATTTTTTAATCTTGATTCTGAGGATTGAGAACAATAAGGAACGAAGGGTATACTGATTTTTGACTTACTGGGATTTAAATCAGAGCATAAGATAATTTCAAAACTCATTCTCATAAGTTTTTCCCAAGTTATTTTACAATATAATAATTGCTAATTAAATCCCATAATATGGATCTATCTCTCTGAGTCTTCTAAGTCGGTTGACCTTGCCTTGTTCAAGTTGTTTTTGATATTCCCCACTCGGCCGAGTGTAGGCCAAAGCAAATGCTTAGATGAGAAGAAGTAAGGGCAGAAGTATGAACAGAGGAATAGAGAGGTATCTTCAACTCCTCTAGAGGTTGAAGAGGAGGAAGTGATGCATGCTTCCTATTATTGCTTTCTTG